CATGAGGTTTCCTCCCACTCCCAGTTTGAATGCTATTCCATCCATTGCTGATCCTGAAACAAGCAGCTGTTGGTCTAGTTGAACAGGAAGGTTGTGTCTGGAGGATGCCAGCAAGGAAGAAATCCCAAGATTCTCCATTTAAGGGCAAGAGTGTCTTTATGCTATCTTATTGAGGCCCCCAGATCACATGTATAAAGACCAACACCAGAACACAGCATTTTGCATGTTTTCCTCATTTCTTGGTGCATGAAGATGGCCTTATATCTGGAACATTTCCACTCTGATGTTGTGAAGAGAGGTTTTCCCCAACAACTGAGCTCAAAGTAACATTATATACTGAGAGGACATAAATTCCTATGTGGCCAAACTTCTCTGAGTTTCAACCATCTGAGGCAAGAAATTACTAAGCACTAGCCAGCAGATGGAAAAACAGAACAAGGTGTTAGACTTTTTGCTCTATGCTAAGCACATCCAGGACCCTCTTTTCCTTTGGTTAATGCTTTGAGGAAACACCTCATAGAAGTACCTAAGGTTGTATTTAACTAATCTGCTAGGCTCCTTTCCATCCACACAAGTTGATAATTACATTTAATCATTAAAAAGTATTCATCATCAAGGAAGACAGAAGCAAAACAACCAGCAAGATTCTCTACATAAATTAAGCTCTTCAAGGAGGCAGACAACCCAGATAAAACTCAGCAAAGGTGATTTAAGTAGATTGTAGTAAAGTAAAGCAATACCAAGACAAAGAGCTGGAAGAACAAATCAGAAAGTAAACTGGAAAGATTGGTCTATATTGACACTTGAATTAATTTCCTAGAAGATGAAGCTGATGAAAGGTGTTTGACCCACATGGAAATAAGTTGTGACTGATGGGAAGGATGAGAAAATAAAATAGATTTGCAAAAGTTTCACAGGAGACCCAGGAGGAATAAGTGACATCCCAATGTGATCAAAAGGTCACAGTCCAAATAAGTCATGTGAAAGCCATGCATATTGAAAGGGTTTGCTGTAAGGGAATGGAGAGGTATTTCAGTGGTTAAGAGCTGCTCTTTCGGAGGACCCGAGTTCAGTTCTCATCATTCACAGTGGGTACACCAGGCAGCTTGCAACCATCTGCCATTCTGTATCCATAATTTAAAATAATAAAATATTGTTTTCAAAAATAAAGGCTTTACTATGTCTTCTGCAGAATATTGAGAGAAAATAATTCCCAAGTAGCAAAAGATAGACTCACAAGAGTGTCAGATACATTAAAGAAGTAATAGTTCCAGGAGGTGCATAGGGGCACAAAAAGACTCATCTCTACAGTAATCACAAAAAGAAACTCAATCCATCAAGACCAATCTCTGTCCCACATTCATTCAGTGCAGTGCACAGGTTCCTTCCTGAATAAAAACATCACTAGTTTCTATTACTGCTTTCTATCTGTCCTCTCACTGAAATGTAAGGTGACTGAATAGCAGGGGACTTGCTTCCTGCCTTCCTGATCTGAAAACAATAAACAGCGATGGATTGAGCTTAATAGGTATACATTTTTGAACAGTAATTTCACAGATAGGTAAAATGTTTTCACTTTGTAGAGTTGAAGTTTTCAGGCTGCACCTCATATTGGATATTTTCATGATGGATATAAATATTTACTATACACTTTAGACCAAAAACTTAAGAATATTTTAAAAACCTACAGAACTTTTATGTATGTGAGTATTGTAGAAAATATGAAAGTATTGCTATTAACATATATGCCATTTTTTGAAATCATCAAAGTTATAAAATGTTCCTTAAGTAAAAGTGCTGTCTTTTTTTATAAATACCTGAACTTATTGTTGTCCCTCTAAATATGGACAATTCATTCTAGGAATCCTGTGGATATCAAAGTCTGTATGTGATCCAGTTACTCATAAAATGTGAGGGTATTAGTATGTAGCTTATGTAGGTCTCCTACATGTTTACAGTCATGCCTAGTTTACTCCTAATGTCAAACACAAAGGAAATGCTGTACAAATAGTCATTGTACTCTATTTTTTTAGTAAACAATGTCAAGGAAAATATATGCCATACTCAGCATAGGCATTTTCCCCCAGTGGGAGAATGACTTTTACAAAGAAAAAAAAACACAACAAAACAAAAAACAAACATGTATAATTTGTAACATAATTGTGACATTCTTTTTAGAACTTCTTATAAACTTTCTTAAAGATATTTTGGGTCTGTTGGTGCATCAATGTGTGGATGTTGACTCTTGAATCCACGGGTTTGGAACACTTGTACATTTCTCAGTATGACTGAAATGGTGATAGACTGAAGGACTTTTGTTTCTGTAGAGGTGGAACAACCCAACACCATGTGTTGAGGAGTTAATTTTAGCTTTCAGTTCCAGGCATGGAGAAGGCATGGCAAGATCTTGAACCAGCTAGGTCAATCACAACCACAGTCAAGAGCAGAAATACAATAATTGCACACATGTTCACTTGCTTGCCTGCCAGTGATCTTCACAATCTATCCACTCTTAAACAGATCACTTTCCATGCATAGCAAATAGTGCTCCCCAAAGTAGGCTTGGTCTTCCCACATCTATCACCTTAATTAAGACAATCCATCATGGACATGTGTCTAGATTAACTTCATCTAGATAATTCCTCATGGATACCCCTTCACAGGTGATTCTTAAAAGTTGTGTCAACTTGACAAACCATCACAAGAGTCAATGATCTGTTTATGGAGCTCATGATCTTTTGTGAGAGCCACAGAGTGATAAATCCTCAGGGCTCCCCTTGCCTAGGCAGGAGAGCCATGGAATCAGGTCACAGCCTCCTGAGACAGAGTATTTGAGCACAGATATGTGTCTTCTGAGTCTGTTAGTGAACTAGCAGTCCATGTATAACAGCTGGATTCTTTTTGCTTCTGTCCTTATTCAGAGAGTTAGATCTGTTGAGCCTTTTCACCACTACTGCTAAGGTCTCCCAGGTTAATGAACAGAGGATTTTAAGTATGGCTAATTAAGAATGAAATGATGAACTCTTCTGGAAATGATTAAAGGCCATAACCAAAAAGTGATGCCATGTCCCTAATCTCCGGGATTCTTTTTATAGAGAATGAGTCTCATAATGGGAAACCTTTCATCAATGTTATTTTTTATCATTAGATATAAAATGTGAATGAAAATGGAGCCAAAAGAAAATGTTCTTCAGAAACCTACCTATTACAAGAAATGACAGGCTCAGAATTGAGATGCCTGGAGTTTCTTAAAAAATAATGTTCAAGCCCAGATATTCTTCAATACAACAACAACAAAAGACATCACGAGAGACAGGAGTACAGTGAAGGAAAGACTGAACTATAAAGTGATTCATGAACAAAAGGAGCTTGTGATTTGGGGGTCCAAGTGGTATGGGGTACAGAATATAATGTCAATAATTCTGTAACCCCAGACAACTCAATTTAAACAATTCTGGGCCCAAGTGTCACATCTGTGTTGTGGCAATAAAATATTTTTGTGGCTAACGTGAAATTTAAATAATAGCACAAACTACTCTTAAAACAGTGTGCTGTCCACATGTGCCCCCAGCAAATACCTAATGTTCATTATAAAAAAAATACACAACTTTGTGCACACACATGTGATGTAAGGGAAGGTAATGATGCAATTTACAACCCTGTTGGATGAAGGAATGTATTATAGTCTGATGATCTTTGCAATTTAAGATGCTACAGGAGAAGCTGGGTATGATACATGTCTGTGATTACAGTACTTGGGAAATTGGGGCTGAAGTATCAGGAGTTTGATGGCACCCTCAGTTACAAAGTGTTTGAGGGTGCCTGCTCTTTGTAAGAGCTTGTCTCAAAAAGCAAAGCAAAGCAAAACAAAGCAAAACAAAACAACAAACAAAAAACCCTAAATCAAACAAAACCATACCATACTAAACCAAAACAAAAGCAGCTCTATAATAAATTCCCTTATTTTCAATTTAATTCTTGTAAGAAAAAAAAACCCAACTGTTATCTGTGTTATATTCTTAGCTATTAAATTATGAATTAAATTTTGACATTTGAACTAATCTCTGTCCCATAATAGACGTATTAACATGGGAGGAGGTTGCCTTACACATAGAGGTTACATACATATTTCTACAAAACAGACTACCATTGAGACAGAATGCAATGAGATATGATGTTTCTAGATCTGGCTGTAAGGAAACACCCCAATAATTTTGGAGTTTGGCCTCTACATCCTGCTTGTACTTGTCTCCTAGGATGTTCAGGTGGAATCATTGGGCGGTATCAGAAAACTTCAACAGGAGAGCCTTTTACGTTGGACAATTGACAGGGCTGTTTCAGAGACCAGTTCTCCCTCTGGCTTCTGTTATTTTCTTGGTTTGAATTACAAAAATTGAGCAGAGATAATCTCTAAACCTAAGACACAACTCTTGATATGTTTTGCCCGCAATAAATACATTTTGATCTTTTCTAGAATGCTGATGGCTAAGATGTAGTTGTTGTAAGGAGAGTTCCTAGCATGCACAGGTTTGATACTTATCTGTGCATAAAGCCAGGCATGGTGGTACACTCCTGTCATCCCAGCAGTTGGGAGGTAAAGGCAGGAAAATAGAAGTTCAAGGCCATCCTTGATAATAATTTGAAGGTTGAGACCAGCCTGGACTGCATGGGACTCTGTCTCAAACAGGAATAAAAAAACATGGAATCATTTGACCCCTCATTATTTCATAGCCTCATCCATTCTAAAGGCTGTTTTAATCATCTGCAGAGAATACAGTGTTCTTAATGAGCTATGCTTGCAAATTTTCTTCATTAACCCTGAAGGCTCAGCACTATTTACAGAAAGATTTAACAGTGCCAGTTCTTTCAACAAAGACAGAAGAAAGAGTTAGCAGTTGGGCATGTCTTGCTGTTGTATTCACAGATGCAAGGTATTGCCCTCCCGCTTCACTGCCCTTCATGCTTGCCACCCTTAACTAAGTTGCATTCTTTCTTTGTAGAGTACAGTGATGTTGACCAAGAGACAGCACTGGCTGCAGCCCATGGCTTCACAGGCTGCCTCTCTGCAGTACAGTTCAGCCATGTTGCACCTCTGAAGGCTGCACTGCACCCTAGTCACTCAGCCCCTGTCACTGTGACAGGGCATGTGACAGAGTCCAGCTGTGTGGCCCCTGCTGGCACTGATGCCACATCGAGAGAAAGGACACATTCATTTGCAGGTAATTTAAGACTCTCTTCCTCCTATGTCACAAATGGACTTGGCCACAGGACTTGGAAAGTTTCCTAATGATGCTGCTTATTCTCAAGATGGCTACTGGAAATTGCTTTTGTTTAATCTTCAGATCTCTTCTTTATCATTGCTTTTCTGGAGTCTTGATTTCTTATTCCTTTAAAGTTGACACTGTTAAATTGAAAATCACACAGTTCTCATGTTCACCTCTATCATTTTGTTCTGGTTTAAAACCAGGCTGCAGAAACACATAGAGACAGCTGACCTGAACAAGGAGGAGCTAATGGACCCCCAGACTGATAGCTGGGAAGCCAGCATGGGACTGACTCAGGCCCCATGAACATGTGTCTCAGCTAGAAGGCCTGAGCAGTCTAAGGGACCTCAGACAGTGGAAAGAGGATGTATCCCTGGTGCACAAAAGGACTTTGGGGGCACATCCCCCATGGAGGGATACTCCCTTAACCTAGATACAAGAGAGAAGTCCTAGTCCCTACTCCAAATGACTTGACAGAATTAAATGACCCCTCCTGGATGGCATCACCCTACATGTGGAGTGGGGGGGGATGGGACGGGAGGGTAGCCAGTGGGCATGAGAGGGTGGGAGAGAGGAAAAAAGGGAGGGAGGGAGGGGGAACTGGGATTGTTATGTAAGATAAAAATAAATAACAAAGTAAAAAAAAAAAACTGATGAATTCTTCAGAATTTCCTCCTGCTACTTAGGTGTATCACCCTGTCCACTTTTGTGCTTTAACTATAGATCATTCTGGAACGATGGATGACAGAGAGCCTCTCACACGTGCAATCAGAAGTGACTCTGCAGTAATTGGAGGTAACCGGGAAGCATGAGTGAACTTTGTTGGTGGGGTTTATTATTATTACTAATAATACTGAATATAAGCCTTAGGAAACTGCCTACAAAGTATCTACATATTTTCACTGGGGATGTAGTTAACTGGTACCATGACTTGCCAATAAGCATGAAGTCTTAGGGTCAATTCCCAGAATTGGGGGGGGGTCACTGTTTTTGTTTTTTAATCTAAAGTATTTGTAATTATTTTTTCTTCTTTTTTATTTTTATTTTCTTTTACATATCAATCCTAGTTCCCTCTCCTGCCTTCCCTCTTCCCCCCTCTCCCATTCTTTCATGCCCCTGACCACCCTCCCCTCCTATTTTAAACTGTGGATTGATTCTTTGTGAATTTCACACCATGCACCCCAATCCCACTCATTTCCCCATCCATACACACCCTCCACCCTTGCAAACCCCCCAAAAGTAAACAAAAAGTAAAATGATAAAATATTAAAAATATAAATGAAACAAAATGCTATGAAAGCTGCAATGTGTTACCCAGCATACTCCTTTGCCCAAAGAGTTTTGCTTACTAACGTTCATTGCGTTGAGTCCTTGGTCTGATTTGAAGCCTGTGGCTTCTGCTACACTATCAATATGGGCCCTCACCACAACCGTTGTTGCCCTACATCATGGAGATCCCGAAGCTTTGGTTTTGCAGAGCTCCTACCTCACATACTCCAGCAGTTCGTAGATGTGGTGATATTGGGGTGGGCCGCCTCAAAGCCCTGGATCTGAGCCTGGGTGGAAGTTGAGCTGGGCAGCCCACCCGCTCTTCTGTGCCTACACCACCAGGACCTGTTCTCTTGCTTTGCCCAAGTCAGGGATAGGCCAGCTCTCCTGTTTATAGCATCTGTCAAGAGGTGGGGCCCACTCTCCAGTGCTTACCCTTCAAGGACAACAATTCCACACTTATACCATCAGGGCCAGCTCTCCAACACTGCCCTGGCCAGGGTCAGGACCAGCTTACCTGAGTGTTATAGTCAGCAAGGCATGGGGCAGCTCTCCTGTGCTCATGTCCTCAGAGCCAGTACTCTAGTACCCATGCCACCAGGGCCCACTCTCCTGTGCTGCCCAGGCAAGGTGTGGGCCCCTCTCCTTCCTGAGTGCTGCAGCCAGTGAGGGATGGGGGCAGCTTTTCACAGCCCTTGGATATCAACATGGCCCCAGGCAGTAGCCCAGACCAGTGGCTTCTGAATGACCTTTGGTGGCAACGTGGTCCATGGACAAGGACCAAGACCCCTGAAGTTGCATGGCCACGGGATTTCACATATCTTAAATGCCATACAATGAACCTTACTATTTTTAAAATTTATATTCTTTGCATTTCACACATTTATAAAATGTATTTTGATCACATTCATTCACTGCTACCCTCTCCTATCTAACCCCCATTCCCACTGAACCCAGTTATTTCCCAGCACGTGCCTTTAGCTTTGTGCGACCCACATCAGTCAAGTTGAATTATATTACTTGTAGGAACAATGATTGGAGGTTATCTACTAAGATATGGACAGCTTTCCCTCAACTACACTGCTGAAGAAAACAGCTCCCCTACTCTCAGCATCCTTTAACTCGCAATAACTTTCAGGAAGGGGTAGGGCCTCTCAGCTGTCTCCTGTCCATTATGGATTGTTGACAGACTTGCTCTTGTGTACACTTTCCCAGGCACTGAACTTGAAGAAGGGATGGTTTACAACTTTTATTGGGATAGCCTTATACAATCTTCCTAAATTCCTGGCTTCCTTGGAAATTCTGTGTGTAAACAGGATGCTCTCATTAAAGCATCGCACTCCAAGATCAGTTGCTAAGCTATGTAAAAATGAATAGGGTTTATCTTAAAGATGGCCATCTGTAAGCCATGATAACTAATGTGTGCATTTATTTCCATAGATATATCATTGCTTCTGCAAGGGGTCATATCAAAGTAGGAAAAAAAAAACCTCGAGATTAACATTAGGAATATGCACTTTGTGTATCTTTAATGCTTATTAAAATAGATATTCCATCATTTAGACATGCCTATAAAAGAATACTATACTTACAGTGCTTATCAAATCTTAGGTTAATAGGTTGAAAGTGGTTCTTAGTAATTTTAAATTGCAGAATACACACAGAAACTTTAAAAATATCTTTAATATGACAACATCTTCTTTGAGGTATATGTTATTCAAAACCAAATTCAGAAATAGAACTTTTTTTTTTTGATTAATGCTCTTCAGGGGCTGTTAATCAGAGGACCGAAATGTTAAGTGCCTTAACATTACTCTGCACTCTGAATATCATATGGATGTACAAAATAAATAATTATTCAGCCTTATATCCAGATAAAGTACACTTGAGAAACTTTTATGTGGGCTTAATACTAGATCCATTTACTTTTGTGTTTTAATAATTTAATTTTATTAGTGTGTGTGTGTGTGTGTGTGTGTGTGTGTGTGAGTGTGTGTGAATATGCATATGAGTGAAGTTGCCAGTGCTGGTTGGTTTTTGTCAACTTCACACAAACTGAGCCATATTTGGAAAGAGGGACTCTTAATTGAGAAAATGCTTTCATAAGATCCGTCTGCAGTGCATTATCTTTACTGGTAATTGATTTGGGTAGGTCTATCCCACAGGGCACAGAGATACCACTTGGCAAGTGGTCCTGAGTTGCATAAGAAAGTAGGCCTAGCAAGCCAGGGGAAGCAAGCTGGTAAACAGCAAGCTCCTGGAAACTCATAAACTCTGGACCAACAGCTATGGAGTTTCCATGGTACCCAACTAGGCCCTCTATAAGTGGGAGAGAGTTGTGAAGCTTGGTCTATCTTAGGGGCCCCTGGCAGTAGGACAATGATCTACCTCTGGTACATGAGCTAGATTGTTGGAGCCCATTCCCTATGGTGAGATGCTGTGCTCAGCATTAATGCAGGGGGGAGAGGGGCTTGGTCTTGCCCCAACCTAAAGTGCCAGACATTGTTGACTCCCCATGGGAGCCCTGACCCATTGCTAGGAGAACTGGATAAAGGGTAAGCTGTGTGGGGAGGTATGGAGTGGATGGGGGGAGAACTGTGGCTGGGATGTAAAATGAAATTTAAAAAAACAAAAATAAAAATAAACCCCCAAACAGCATTCCTGGCCTCTGCACTAGTTCCTAATTCCAGGTTCCTGCCTTGAATTCCTGCTCTGACTTCTATCAGGGATGGATTCCCTCAGTGATGGAATGTGATCTTGTCAAATTTAAACCCTTTCTTCCCCATGTTGCTTTGGTGTTTTTCCACAGCAATAGAAGCCTAAGACAGTGCCCATGAACGTCAAAATAGGGATACCCTGAAACTGGATTATTAGCAAATATGAGAGCTTACAAATGAACTTGTGTCTTCTACAAGAGCAGTACCATGCTCTTAACTACTGAGGCATTTCTCTAGCCCCCTGCCTTGTAAAGATTTTGCTTTTAATCTTGGTTTTAATTGTGTGTGTGTGTGTGTGTGTGTGTGTGTGAGTGTGTGTGAGTGTGTGTGTGTGTGTGTCTGTGTGTGAGTGTGTGTGTGTGTCTGTGTGTGTGTGTGTGTGTGTGTGTGTGTGTGTGTGTGTGTGTGTGTGTGTGTGTGTGTGTGTGTGTGTGTGTGTGTGTGTGTGTGTGTGTGTGTCTGTGTGTGAATAGTTTGTGCTGTCTTTCATCTATACATGAACTCTCTGTAGCAGCTATACCCTTTTATTTAGATGGCGAATAAAAATGATCAAAGTTTCTCTCATTGTTATTTCTATTCTTCTCCCCTTCCCTTAAACTAAATATCATAAGTTAAGGTTAAATGAAATCTTGTTTAATTCCCTAACAAACAAAGCAACCCTTCCTTTTTTTTCTTTCTTTTTCTTTTTCTTTTCTTTTTTTTTTTTTTTTGTTTGTTTGTTTTTTGAAGTAATTAGTTTAATCTTGAGTTTAGGTAGTTATCAAAATACTTTAATGGAAACATATTCTACAGTAAAACCCTACTTATAATTATGAGAATGGTAACATGCTTAACATTATAACATTTTAAAGTAGGATTCCTGCTTAAGCAAAATGACTTAGTCAGTGCTCTTCTTGCCTAGCTTTCACACACACAGAGCAGAGAGAGAGAGAGAGAGAGAGAGAGAGAGAGAGAGAGAGAGAGAGAACACTAGGAAAGTTTGTCCCTCAAGGTTCACCAAGGTCCATGAAACAAGCATGCCATCTGGTTTTGATCGCTCTGGGGACTGAGCTTTCGTAGAGCAGCTGGGAATGGCCATAGAAGCTCCAAGGGTCTCATGCCAACCATGTGTAGTGTGTCTGCTTGTTCACAGCCCAGGGTCCTCCACTGTAGTGCTCTGACTGGTAGTGTCCAGGTAGGCTTTTATCCCATTGTTGTGCTAGTCATAAATCATTCCTAGTATGTAACCACAGTTGACACATTCAAACGTTTTTTTCCAGAGGAGATAATCCTCTTGTGTTCTCAGCTGTGGGTAACCATCCTCTTTGTTTATAAACAAAGTAGTATGAGATGAACATAGAATTAGTGAGGCATTTAACAGTGATGATGCAAACATGGAGTGTTTCTAGCCAGACTGTGAAGATAAACATGGAGTGTTTCTAGCCAGACTGTGAGGATAAAGATAGAACATTTCAGACAGAAACCTACATACATTTCGCCCCAGAGCACATTACCATGCTGCTTTGTGTACAACAGCATAAAGCATAGTAGTTTATTTTATTTATTAGGAATATATTAAGTTGCTTGTTTGGGGACTGTTGGGGTTAAGTTTAAAGTGTTTTCCTTGAACACAAAAAGTAATGGCATGAAACTTTCCCAAAATTGAGAGAGATAAATCACATACAGAAAAAAAGAAAAAAAAAGTCAGGAACCATCTCTAATGAAGATTGTGTGTATGTCTCTTCTCGACCAATATTATGGTGACATTCATTTTAGTACCTACAGTTGTACTCTCATTAACATAGCCTATCCTTTTTTCACTTTGTAATAACTCAGAATCCCTTTCTCTGAGCTAGAAACTTTATAAGATGATTGAACTAACTATAGCAAGTCAATTAATTGTTTTTACAAGGATGAGAGACAAAATATATAGCAATGCATGAATACCCTGATTAAAGTAAAATTGTAAAATGTGTATTAGATTCATCACTATCTTTCTCGGGTAAGCCTGACCTATGCAAAAATTGGCTCAGAGTCAGCAACACTATCATTTTCCAAGAAGACTCTGCTTAGTGAATCTTATTGAAACTTCCAAGTACCTTCAAGTTTTGATTTAATTCCATTATGCACACCCACATTTATTTACATTGTAATGGAGTCTTAGGGCTTGGGATGTAGTGACAGAACACTTGTGTTTCATGGAGAACATCCTTAAATGAGATTGGCTTTTGCCTGTCAGTACAATGTCTTCTATGCCCTAAACTCAATGACTAAGTACTACAATTTGGTGTTCTGATCCTGATCTTCATTTGTGCTAACCACGCAAATTTTCCCTAGTTTCTTCATATGCCATTAATGAGAATTTGAACACCATGAGAAAGCACCTTAAACATATGATGGAATACTAAATTTCCCTCTTTGGGTCCCCATTCCAGTATGTCCTGAGAACTATCCAGAGTTCACATTCCACATCAAGGTTTTCATGTCACGCTGGAGTTGATAACTGTGGGCACAACTAAGACTTGTAGTGATTAAAATATTTACAAGGAATCCAAAGTTTCAAAATCCAATATTCATCATGCAGAAAGATTTTCACATATTTACATACCCATATCAACATTTTATTATTAACATTATTCATGCACATAACATACTCCTACCCTTTAACAGTTATTATAAAATCAATTTCATTGACATTGTTACATATTTAATCACAAAATACAATGCCTTTACTGCATTATACTTTACTATAATTTCAAATAATTAAAATGTCTTCATGTCTAATTATGAAGCAACACTCAGTCATAGAAATGTGTAAGTGATGCTTCCTAATAAACAGGGACACATGAAGCAGATCCAGTAGAATGCACATTCAGGATAAATGGAAGAGACCACACAGAGTTGATGGAATCCCTAAATACGCTTTATTATGATACTGCTTTAATCAGAAATTGAGAGGTTTTCTTGTTTCTAATTTACATCATGTAGAAGGTTGACTTCAATGGAAAACAATATTCCCAGAGCTAATTAAACAATGAACCTGACACAGTGTCTATTCTGACTGGATATTTCTTTTCTCTTCTTTCTCTAGGTCTGATAGCTGTTGTGATCTTTATCTTGCTTTGTGTCTCTGCCATAGCTGTTCGCATTTATCAACAGAAAAGGTTATACAAAAGAAATGAAGCAAAAAGGTCAGAGAACGTAGACAGTGCCGAGGCTGTTTTGAAAAGTGAGCTTCATATCCAAAATGCAGTCAGTGAAAGTCAGAAAGAGTATTTCTTCTGATTGGCAGCAATCCTGTAACTTGCAAGGATGAGTTCATTTTAATAGCCAGGGGCTCTCGGTGGACAAGAACTGCTCTAACCCTGACCGTACAGGCGATGGATCTGCAGCACAGCCATCTTGCCATGTCCAGGCTCGGGATGGCTCCAGGCAGCCTCCTCCAGTGATGTGCTTCTAGCATCTTTCTACTTAAGAAGGGAGGTAGCTATTGGTGCCCCTTTCCAACTTCTGCACACGATCAAAGCCAAGTTTAACTCACATCACAACTATGGTTTTTAAATGTGGAAATGGTAGCCCTTCTCTTCATTCTGTAAAACGTGAGTTTTGTTAGACGTAAGAAATCAAAATTGGACTATAATGGCCTTGCTTTACTAGAGACCACATGTCCTGTTTGCTTTTGTCTTCCCATGGTGTTGTTCATGAGCCTGGAAATGCTTCTGAGATTCTTTTTGGCTGGTGTTCGCATCTTCAGTGGCCAAAAGCCCCCCTGCCTCTCTCTGTATTACATTCAATACATCAATAATCTGGAAAAATGTTTTCTTGTCTTTGGCTTGTTTGTAATGCTCTTTTTCTATTTGACCTCTTTCTGATACTTTTTAATGCATTTCATTTTGGTTGTCTAACTTTTAACTCTGAACATGCAATTCCTATATAAAAAGCCTTGGAAAGTATGGTGGTTGTCAGTATGTAATGTCATGCCTCTACAACAGTTTCTTATTTTTTGATGATGACTGGTTAAGACCCTAAGCAAATGTAATTTTCCAAAGACTTTTCAACATGTTCCATTAAATTTGTCCTAGCACAGCAAAAAAAAAAAAAAAAAAAAAAAAAAAAAAAAAATTAATTGCAACTGTATTACCTCAATTTTATTTCAGAGACTATTTTCTCCAAATCTTAGTTTATGTTTGCCTAAAGGTTGTTAACAAGTTTTCTTTGATTCCCCCAATGAAAATTTTCCATGAAGTATCCTCTTACATGTTAGAAAAGAGGATAACATCGAGTATAGAGCCCTAGTATTCATTCTAATATACAGTTGTGCCAATGGCATGAATTTTGATGTGCACTAACTTCCAATATAGGGACTGTGCAATCTGAGTTGTAACAGGACTCCTGTTTTGCAACCAGTAGATAAAGTAACCACGGATGCTCACTCTTATCAGACATATGCACAAGCAATCATTTCTCATGTAGGGTGATTAAGACCTCAAAAATGACTGAGATCAATATAACGTACTCACTAATCTATGGGGATTGGAGTGTATATAAACAAAAGGAGGTGGGAGCATAATTCTTAACTATATGAAACTAACAATATGAACTTTAAGGCCAAGTGAACAGGCTAATTGCATGGAAGTATCTTCAAAGTTCATAAGCCAATTAAATAATAAAAGCATTTTGCAACCCATGCTCACACTTTCAGGTGCTTCCAAAGTACAAACTCAATTCCTTATTTTTTGCATAAAAGAAAACTTGGCAATATATGAATTCAGTATCAATAGCATCTAATTCTCCTTGCTGATTCTTCTTACAGAATCTGTGTTTCTTTTGCCAAAGCATGAGGTTCATGTTAATGTTTCTGTAAATACCTGACTAAATCTTAACCTGAAGTGACAAGGGACCCATGTTGCTAAATAGCATCTATATGTGTGTGCATATAGATACATATGTATGATATGTACCATATGCACACACACACACACACACACACACACACACTTGTGGTAACAAGAGACATATTAACATAGGATTTGGTGTAAAGAGCACGGCTATTATCACAGTTTGGAATCCTTTAGAAGTTTATGTTTTCTTTAGTAGCAGCACTGATCTCATTAGTAGCTAAAATGTGGGCATATTTATAGGTGGTGAAGCTGCAAAGTCCTCTGTGTTTCACACTGCAAGAGACTGAAATAGGATGGCATCAAATTACATTTGGTACCTAAATGCCATAGCTTGGTTTTCCTGGTTTGTAATAAATCTCTTCCTTCTTCCTTAATAAAAATACATTTTTTAAAAAAAATAAAATGCAGAATATACCTTAAGAGATAATGTATAAAAGTTTTACATTAGGGAATTATATTGGATTTCCATTTCTTAAGTTAGTTAAAAATGTAGATACATATCTTATTTGTTGGTGTATTATGAATATGTGTGGTGTGTTTAATCTTTTCTTAACAGATTTCTGTGATTCCTGGGAACTATCAAGAAGTTATAGTCTTTTAATTTAAAAAAAATGAATTACATTGTATGTGTATGAGAGGAGGGTGGTATTTCAGAGGGAATCTTACAGGATTGGTTCTCTTCTTCCATTGCATAGGATCTGGAAATTGACCTGGGGGGGTTGTTGGGCTTGGCAGTAGGCACTTGTACCTGTACAGCCATTGCTGCAGCCCTATTTTTTCCTTGAAAGAGGACAAAATGAAAAGTAGAAAGATGATTGTTGATGGCTATGATTTAGTTTTCAGTATCTTTTCAGCCTTTCCTGAGAATAATGACCTGGCTGGCAGTTGTTCATGGGAAAGGATGCTACACACTTCAGTTGGGCAATGTCCTTTTCACTGTCTTTTCCCTTTCTCTAAAGACTGGTGAATGCACACAGTGTACAGGAAGAGGTGTTGTATAGAGAACATGGTGTACTCTCTGATTTCAAAACTCATCTAAAAAGTCGGTGTAAATGGACTTCTTATTTGGTCCTGGAATCAGATATAGAGAAAGAGAGGAGCAAGCTACAGCCACACCTTACCTCCTTAGCATCTCAGCAGACAAGAGTTCCTATTTCTCCCTGCTTATATTCTGTTTCTACCCATCTATCCGACTTCCTGTCTGTCCGTATAGACCTCCAGACCATTATGGTTAGCTACTGGCATGCTCCATTCTCTGGTCCTCAGATAGGTTTTATTTGTACAATCAAGCTATTCACACAAGTGGGTGTAACAGTGCTCTCTATTAATCTCAACACTTGGAAGCAGGAGTAGCCGGAAGATTGTTGCAGTTTCATGGTCAGATTGGATTTACATGGATGTCCTCTCTGTCTCAAAAAACAAACCATACCCAAAACAAAACAAAATAAGGGACTAAAATCAAACCACATCCCCCAAGAAAAGCAAAAGTAACAACAACAAACAAACAACAAAACTTCACTAAATTTCAAGTTTTAACACTCCTCCCACAGACTGGAGTGATGATGGCATTAAAGAGCTTTTTCAATTAAATGGATGGGTCCATCAGTGAGAAATGTTATCTTAATATGTAGGAAATGTCATGAAGATAACCCTTTTCCAGTCTAGAACATAGTTCAGTTTTAAGATTCATTCCCAAGTGTTGCTTTCAAAACTATGTTTATTATATCCTTAAGATTTTAAAACAAGCAGACAAAAGCAGGATGATACAAAAGACAAGCAGGAAACACCCACAGGGAAGGAGATCATTTAAACAGATTGTTCCTTGGTTGAGTCTCTCTTTTGAAATAACAGCATTCCTCACAGAAGCAGAGAAGCACAGAGCATGTTTAAAGTGTGGACAGCTCAGCTTCACAGATAAAACACGTCCAAGACACAATATGTGAAATGATGTTCCCAGGAGGACAATTGCATATTGCCATTAAGCTGTGACTAAATAGTCTTTTGTCTACAGAGATGATCTTAGGGTTTTCAGGATCTGGATTTCAACAGTTATTTCATGGTATAGAGAAACCTGAAGCATCTCAATAGCTCCCTTGTTTAGAATGACTGTGAATCTATACTTTACACACCACCCATTTTTAATGGATATCTATTGTTATTTGACAAATCTTTGTCCTTGATAGATTTGGTTTTCTTCCCTGAAACTATTAATTTCAGGGTCCTTGACTCCAGGATAGACAATTACAATTGGGGCACTTATTTTAATTGGATGTGTACACAAATTCCTGTATGTGTATCTGCAAATGTGTGAATCTGTGGGAGGCCAGCACACTACCTCAAGTACAGTCTTCAGGAAGGCCATCCTTTGAGACAGGTCTTTCATTGGTTTGGAGATAAGCAGTAAGGGTAGGTTAAATGACTGGAACACCCCTTCCTGTTCTTTTGGGAAGTGAATTTAAGTCCTTATGCTTACAAAGCATATACTTTCCCGGCCAAGCCAGTTCTAGAAAACTCTATATAGTCTTTGTGAAATCTAAGATGAGTTATATCTGACCTATTGATCATCAAATATCTACTTCCTATTAGAAAGATGAATTAGACATACCCTAAACTGAAACATGTTCAGTTGAAGATTAGATTTCAAAGCCATGTATCAACTGCATGATGACTCCATCAGATACCTCCAATATGTCCTGCCTGCCCTCCACATTTTTCAAATTCTGTATGATAGTGTGGAAGCAGGAGAAAAAAAAAAAACCTAGAAGTTGAATGTTTCCATAAGGGGGTGTGTGTGTCTAAGGAACATTCATGTGTCTACAAAAGAACAGGGGATGATAAAAATATCATGACAAAGTGTGGAAAAACATGCTAAGAATTTTGGATATTTGGTTCATCAAAGGGGTCCCTAGAGTTCAGTTTTAAAGATTCTCAAGCAAAATATATCTGAACCCTGATTTGAATCATTTCCCCAGTGTAATATTTTTCAAATCTTTTTTCTTTTTTTTAACATCATACTTAAATCAGTATGAAATGCACAATTGTAGGTTTTTAAAATTTTTTTCTTATTTTACATATCGATCCCAGTTCCCTCTCCCTCCCCCCTCCCTCCGTCCCTTTCTCTCTCCCTCTCATGCCCCAATTGTAGTTTTAAAAAAAATCTAACAGTTTAATAAATTTTTATAAGGGAAAATAATGTTCTATTGCCCATCTCCTCTCCTCTGCTGTGGCTGCACAGCCAGAATATCAAGGGTGTCGGGATTGAAAACTTAACAGACTACCATGAGAAGTTGAGTAGAAGCTGCCACCACTGTTTATTACAGAGAGTAACCGGCTTATATACCCAAGCCAGGGGATGGGCTAAGCACAGGAGGAAGTCATGCACCACCCACACCTGAGGTCAAGGCACCTGCACTGCACACCGGAAAGTTCTGAAAACAAACTTGTTTGTTCAACCTTGTTTGCATGGAAGTTCTACATCTGGGTGGGGGGAAGAGACAAGTACTTAAATTTCCCAACACTCCTCATCTGTTCTAGCTCCTTTAATGGTCTCTCTTTAACTCTCCCTGTGCCTGTAAATAATGTGCTATCACAGGATGGCTTCTTTGGAAAGTATATTTTTAGACAGAAATTGCCACTTATAAAGTTTATTAGGTATTATGTAATATACACAGGAGATGGGCTGATGCAGGATGGAGAAATTGGGCTATGATGCCATAATGACAATGGGTTAGCTTGCCCTACTGAAATTACCCTTTGTGGGTATTCTGAGTTGAATGAAGGGACAGGAAATTTTTATTACAGTATAGAGCATATCGGTGTTGTCTGTGCTGATGATCATGAGCTTGGACCAGTGACTCTTTGCAGCTTAGACTGTTCTTGAAGAGTGAAGACACAACTTCCTCAGTTGACATTTGGCTTTCACATCCATGTAGCAGCTCAACGATGACTCCAATAGCTATCTTCAGTATGTCCTATCTGTAATCCAGATCATAGAGTGATGACAAAGAATAAAAAACTCAGAAGCCTCATGTTTAAGTGGGAGGATGTGTGTGCATTAAGATCTAAAATGGAGGTACCAGGA